TGATACATAATAATTGGGTTACTTTGCATAACATGAATCTTCCCTTGATTTAATTGTGAAAAAGGAGAAGCCTTGCGGGCTCCACGGAAGGAGCTAGGTAATGTAAATCATTGCATTTAAGTACGGAAGACTTTAACATCATTTCACAAAACGTGACCGTGTACGCAAGCCAGGGGACGAAAGTGATAATAATTTGGAGGACAAATGTCAAATTGAACTCTTAAATTTTTAATTTTGAATATTTTTAGTCCTCAAACTATTTTTTGTATATTTTTTATCCTTAATTATGAAATAGGCACCTTTTTAATTTTTCTATCGATTAATTCATTAAATTTATCCAAATATGTATATATATTATAAGTTTAAAGATTAAAAATATATATTTTAAAATAAATTTAATAGAGTAATTGATAAAAAAAAATTAAGAAAATATATATTTTTCATAATTTAATGGTAAAAAAATATAAAAATTATTCCAGAGCTAGAAACATTTAAAATTGAAAGTTCAAAATTTAAAATTGACATTTAACCTAATTTGGATTATGGTCAAAAAGTGGAGATTGTGTTCCAACGGGCGAATATAGGAATTAGGAATGCAAAAAATCATCTTTGCATCTTCATGGGTTCAATTTATGTTTTGTGGACGATTAGTTGAAACTGAGGTGGGAACCACATGTCATGTGATATTGTCACGTGGCATGAGAAGTTGGACTGCTAACGGTTACTTTGACGGTCACATAGTTTAGGGGCTTAAAGTCATAAGGTTGCTATAGTAGAGGGGCAAAATGCATTAAAATTTACGACTTCAAAGGGAAATTGGTGGGTTTAGCAGTGTGACATAAGGGACGCGCAATGTCGCCCACAAGAGAACATGGGTAAACTTGGGAATTCTTGCTTTTCAAAGTTGTAACATTTTGGGTCATTGAAATTTAGAACATAACGTTCAACACTTTTTTTTTTTTTTTAATGGCAAAAAGAATTGTATTAATTGGAGTACAGGTGATGTTCTATCCTGTTACAACCGCTCAATCATGTGGAAAATCAATCTTCAAAGCCACATGGGGACGGAAACAGGGCCGGTGAGATTGGAGAGTGTTTCTCCATCCCTGCGTGGAATTTTAATGAGGCGGTTGAACTTTCCTCCTTCCCCATTATCATAAGGAATAAGTCTTGTGGGATTTCTAATTTTTTGTAAATTTATATTATAAAATTAATTTAATTATTTTTTATTTAATTATTTTAAAACAAAATATTTTAATGAATTAAGTTAAATTTAAAATAATTTAGTTAAAATTGAATGAGTAATGAATATAATTTTTTTTTGATAATTAGTATGTTAAAAATATTAATGAGAGGTATTAAACCTAAAATTTAAGAGTACAAACCACAAGTTACCTTTAAAACAACAATTTAACTTTGATTTACGATACATGCAATGCGAATAATAAATATAATATATAATTATAAGTTAAAATGTTTAAACCGTACTGCATTCAATAATTTTTTTATTTTATATTTTATGAGAAACGGAGAAATGGTGGGGAATCACGAGGCAAAAATTCACTAAAGAAAATGCAGGAATCAGGGGGGGAAAATTGGCACCGCTGGAGCCACACAAGATTTCCTTGTTAAATTCCCCAAAAAGCTATAACGTGTTGACAAATATATCTAAAATGGTTTTTCTTATTAAATTTCAGAGGAGGATGGAATCACATGCCGCGAAGGATGGTCCGAAGAGTTGACACTGAAATGCAATTATGTATGATTTCTTTTAGTTTCTTTTTGGTCAAGTGGAAGAACCACTCGTGATATGTTCAGACTCTTGGTTCCACTAATTGCCCAGTATGTATAAACTGCATCATCCACAATCACGGGGTGAAGTTTTATCTCTAAAAAGTAATTAGCGACACTAAATGAAATTGTTTTAAATAAACAATTTTTGTTTTTATTATAAAAAAAATGAAAAATTACATTTTAACTACTTGAGGTTTAAAATTAGTACACAAAAAAACTTAAAATTTTAAAATGTCTATATAATAGATCTATGATTTGATATGAGTGTATATAAATATATTTAAAATTTTTAAATGTGTTAATATAAATATAAAATTTATATTAGATGTACATAATTACTTAAATGTATATGAAATTATTGTTTAGGAGCAATTCCAAACAATTTGGTTAACAATATTTTTAACCGATAATCAAACAAAAAAAAGTTTGGTTCGGAATGTAGGGAAATTTTAACAAACAATATCTCTGTCAATTTTAGAAGTGAAATTAATGGATTAAAATGTTTAGATATTCATATTATACTATATTGTATAATCGGCTGTAAAAAAAAAAAATCTAGAATGAAAAAGAAGGCCTATGGCTCGATGACTAATATTTTTATTTTACAAGATAGTAATTTTAGTTTAATTTTTGAATTTTTAAATTAAGATTTTAAGTAAAAATTTAACATAATAAATGAACTTTAATTGAAAATTTTCTCTTTTTTTTATGTAATTTTAATTTAATAATTTTACTTGATTAAATGACCTTTTAATTATTATTTATATGTTATATTA